CCTGCATCGGCTTCCCTAGGACTGGAATTATAGGTGTGTGCCATCATGTCCACCTACTTCTAATTGGAGTGATTGATTGATTGATTGGATTTTATGTTGTGCTGAGGAGGGACCTAGAGCTTTCACGTGTTAGTCTCCTATCATTTCTACACACTATCACTCATCTTTACCCTCATGGGCCATGAAAGAAAGACAAAAATGTGGGCTGATAACTAGAAGACTGGTTACCACTTTCTAAACTGGCACGATGAAGGAGGAACTGGTGTGCAGTTCGGTTTTCAACAGGAAGCGGAAGGTGTCTATTGGGTCTCCAAGGGAAGGTGACAAGGTGACAAATAAGAGTTCTTCACACAGCATGGGAGACTGGCACTACTTCCTGCCCTGGAGATGTTACTTTGGAAGGTCAAGGCATACAGATGCCGTGTGCTTAGCAACCAGAGGTGCTCAGTGCTTAGCAGCAACAGAGAGGAACCAAGTTAACTTTTGTTCTGAAGGCAGCAGGATGGTTGAAAATACATAAGAAAGGTAGGTAATCCATAAAGAGCTGTTCAGGAATTCTGGTCTAGGGATGTAGTTCAGGTAGTAGAGTCCTTGAGTAGTGTATGTGAGGTCTAGGACCACACAAAATGGCATGGTGGCACACACCTGTAATCCCAGTTGTAGAGTAAGGAGGATTAGAAGTTCAAGATCATCCTTAGCTACATAGTGAGTCTTAATCCTGTCTGGGCTACATGAGACCAGTGTTTACTCAGGCCTGAAGTCTATCTGAGCACACAAAGCCGGTTAAACCTCATCAGGGACCTTAACCATTCTTGACTGGCAAACATGAGTGAAACTGAACTTGACCCATTTCTTGTAAATGCCTGTAGTAGAGGAAAACAAAACTTAAGCTCAACCAATCAGAAGCAGTCAACAAGACCTTAATTATACAACTAGAATCTTCCCAGTGGGACAGATCAAACAAGGCCACATAATAGCTGTGACTAACCATTTTTTATGATTCCTTAACATTCACCCATTAAAAGCTACTCTTCAAAGGATACCCCCAAACCACTTTGAGTCTGAACCTTTCTGATTTATTACTTTTTAGTTGCTCAGATACACTCTTTGTAGTTTTATTGTTCATTAGTTTGCCTCCTTAATAGGCCTTATTTTCCAAACTACTTTAAGAAGCAGAGAAAAATGAATCACCCCCTACAGTTGTTCAATGTATATGAAGTCCAAATAACTCTTACCTCAAACTACTGAGGTGGAGAGACCAAAAAGTGCATCTCTTCCAGTCTCCTATAACTACGGCTGCTTCTGTATGATTTCCTCCAAAGATACATAAAACATTTTAGCTATATCTTGGAGGCAGTTTATATAAACGAATTAAGTTTTAATTTCACTTCTCCTTTATACCATATTTCATCAAATTGGTGTTCAAATGCACGCTAACTTTTAAGTATATATTTTATGCCTACAGATAGGACACTACAATTAAGCCCCAAAGAAAAATACGTGCCATATATGTGTAAACCAGCAGCTCTCAACCTGTGGGTTCATAGGAGTTGCACATCAGATATCCTGCATATCAGATATTTACCCTACAATTCATAACAGTAGCAAAATTACAGCTAACAATTACAGCAATGAAAGTAATGTTATGGTTGGGCATCACCACGGACATGAGGAACTGTATTAAAGGGCTGCAGCTTTGGGAAGGCTGAGAACCAATGGCGTAAGCGAAGAAGACAGAGGAGACCTTGTACACATCACCATTTATAGGTTATCAAGAGAAAGAGGTCCCAGAAAGGGGACAGAGGAGGAAGCCCCGTGAATAAAGAGAAAACTAGGCTAAGTGTGTGTTGGTTGGGAGCCCATAGAAGAAGATATTTAGTTTAAGGAGGAGGGAATGGTTGGCTGTGGCAACTGATAAGGATCAGCCAAGTAAGTTGGTGGGAAACCTCTGGAAATGGAGAGCGAAACCTGAAGAAAATGAATTGGACTGGTGGCAGTGGAGGATAATTAACAGTCTCTTGAAACCGATGGACTCGGGATACACAGGAGAATTGATTTCTGAGTTGCTTCAGATTTGTGAGTTCAAGACCCTCTTGGCTATATAGCAAGATCCTCTCAAAACCAAAGCCCAAACCTAAAAGCAGAAGTCCAGTCTCCTTCAAATCTGTCACTGGCCTCCCAACAAATATGAAGAAAAAACTAAAATCTTTACAAGGTCTCCTGGCTCAGCATGCTCTATTTTGTCTGTCTTATTTCTCTTCTTCATGCTCCACCCGCCCCTGGCATCACTGAATGCTGCTTTGTTCCCATAAAACCCCAGGCCCGCTCACCTCTGGGCCATAGTGTGTGCTATTTCCTTGTCCAGGGTAGCAATTCTGCCCACATTCCACAGGGCTTACTTCCTTACTGGCTCCAACGTCTTTGCAAGGAGGCCTCCACTGGTCACCTGACTCAGGCTGTATTCTCTACAAGCAGAAACTGAGCTAGAGGTTGGCACCCGGTTTATTATTAGAGCTTAACGCCTGTGAAGGGAAGGGTGCTAGCAAGATTAGGTAGGAATAGTCATTGGTAACATAGGGCTGATGAAGCCCTGCTCAGGCCAAGAGAGCGCTCTGGAGCCAGTATTGACTAGCAACGTGTCCCCTGATGGTCAGGTCTGTATGTTTCTGTCACACTTAGTTATAAAATGCAAGGTGTCCTGTAAAGGGGGTGGCTGGCACCTGAGGCTTCTCAGCAGCTGAGGCAGATCCTGAAGTACCTAAAGGCTAGAGACTATGGCCATACTGCCTCCCTGAATCTATGGCCATAGCTCTGTGCGGTCATCTTTGTATTCTCCATACCACCTAGTTACAATTGCAATACCCCTCATTGCTTTATTTTCTTATTTGCATCCAACATTTTCTAATACCGTATATAATTTAATTTATTTCCATATATTATTCGTTTCCTTCAGTGGAATGCCAGTCCTCCCTCTCTCTCTCTCTCTCTCTCTCTCTCTCTCTCTCTCTCTCTCTCTCTCTCTCTCTTCTGTCTCTCTAATACTACTGTAGCTGGAACTCTGTCTTATGACACTATTCTTGGGAAAACGTGAACAAATGTCTATAGATCCCAGCTAGGGAATCGACAACAGACAGACGTATGGATAACACTAAAATCCAGTTTGGTGAACCAATGCATTTTACTGGGACAGGCTCAGAGGTGACAGAGCAGTTGTATCACCCAGAGCTCACTTGAGCAAGGTGACAGCTCATGACAGCTGCCCACTGCACAGCCTACAGGCCCCTCGGCAGGCTGGAGAGGGTCCTTTTTAGGCAGGTTAGTTGATAGGCGCCTCTTCCCGGGAGCTCAGCTGGTCTCCGCAGCTTCCAGGCACCACCTTCTATTTCTTTCCCACAGCTTGGCTGGTGTCTGCCCCTCCCAGGCAGGGCAGCTTGTCTGAGAGTCTTCTAGGTAGCTTGCCTTATCTGAGAAGGTCCCTCTGCTATTTTCACTGCTTCTATATGCTTGGGGGCAGGGAGGGGCCTAGAGAATCTGGTTAGCTTCAGGGACTTCCTCAAGTTGTTTTGTGTTGTTCACTTCCTGAGCTCAAGGAGCTTTCCTGTTTCCCTTCCCCTTAGGACACCCTGTTTTACCTCCCTGTAACACCACCACCACCACCACCACCACCCCACCCCCACCACCACCCCCCGTCTTATTGAGAGCTCCTCGCAGATGGACACTTTCAACTTCAGAGGAAACTCCTACCCAACACTCAGGTTCTAAGTAAGCATTCTATCACCGAATTAGTTACTTTTTTTCACTGCCGTGACACACACTACCAGACCAAAAAATAATGAAGGAAAGGGTTATTTTGGCCCCTGGTTTGTGGCTCACAAACCCATGGTTTATGTGTACACAGCCTAGTTCTAGTGCAAGACTGCAGTTTGAGTGATAGTCACACGATGTTGTGTGGGAGGGAGGATTGAAATGGGAGTTATCTGAAGTTTTGACTGGGTCTCATTTATGACCCTTTAAACTTTCTATCAATGTCCTCCAGCCAAAACCCACTAGGAACACGCCTCTACTTGAACAAGTGAGGTGGGCAGAAAGTGCTTCGTGGGGAGGGAGCCATTGGGTATCTGGGTAAAAGGGAGTCAGAAGAGGGCAACTGTAGGATACGGGTTGGTGTTAGGTGATTTGGGGAAAGAGGGCTTTCCTCTGGACAGGAAATTGGCAAGAAGTGTGTGTGTGTGGGGGGGGAATACAAAATTTTGTATTCTAACATCTTACTAGGTGGATCAAGACTAGACGGAAGAGAAAGCTGTAACTGGAAAGAAAAAGCAGTGATCACATTTTCCTGGACAGGAGAGTGTTTAGCACTGTCGTTCGCATAATGTTAATGATCACAGAGTAGAACTACACCGTGTCTCTCTTCAAAGGGCACATGCTATCAGTGCTCAGATGATGTTATCAGGCCCAGCTCCCAGGGTAGGGCTGCTTGTGTTTTTCTCGTAGCTATGCCACGTTAAGCAGGAGTGGTCTTTCTGTGTGGTTCAGTTTTGAGACAAAAACATTCACCATCTCCATCTCCTAAACTGATCAGTATTAAGATCATCCGTGTAAAGAAACCGGGATGTGTTCACCGTTCAGTGCCATCTACTGCAGCTCAAATATTCTTTGATGCACTATTTTCTCACTTTTTTAACATGACTTGAAATCGGGGTGTGTCTGTCTTTCAAACAATGGCTTCTTAGGATGGATACCGTGCAGTATTGTCTGAGGGGCGGGTTAAGCATAGGCATGCTCTGCTACTGCTGCTGCTGCTCGGCTCAATCTGTTTCCGGGAGAACGGTTTGGCTTTTTAACCTTCGTGAAGGTCTTTGCTTGACTTTTCCGGGAGGGTTCTCTCCCGGGTCACGGCACGACACCTGCGCGGCTTTCCCAGGCAATACGGGCAGCTGCGGCGGCGCTCGCGAGCTTACGGCAGCGTGGCGCACACGCGGCCGGTTGCCCCGGGCAACCGGCGCGTCCCCGCCCGGCGGTCAGCTGATGGGCCGCCCGCGGGGGAGGCCGCGGCGCGAACATGGCGGCCGAGATCCACTCCAGGCCGCAGAGCAGCCGCCCGGTGCTGCTGAGCAAGATCGAGGGCCACCAGGACGCCGTCACGGCCGCGCTGCTCATCCCCAAGGAGGACGGCGTGATCACCGCCAGCGAGGACAGGTAGGGTGTCTGGGAATACGCGCGCGCGGGGGGCCAGGGCGCGGGGAGGGGGCGACCACGAGGCGTGGGGGCCGTGGGGGCCGTGGGGGCCGCGCCTCTGCCTTCCCCTCCTGTGGTCACCTCGGGTCGAGCGGCCACCCCTCTCTCCCGCGTCCCTGAAGTCCACCGAGATCCGGGTGCTGTCAGGAGGTCCTGTCTCGCTCCTCCAGCCTGGGACCGCTCCCCCGCCGCGCGCCTTTAGTTCCTGGGAACCCCAAACCTGCTCCTTCAGCCCGGACCTTCCTACAGTGCTCTTTCAATCCAGGACCTGGTTCCACTGCGCCCCCTCTATCATGGGACCCCGACCCACCCAGAACCCTTCCATCCCGGGACCCTGTCCTACAGCGCCCCTACAGCCACTGACCGTCCCCACAGCTCTTCTTTAGTCCCGGACTTCGTCCCACAATTCCGCTCCAGCCCCGGACCCTGACTCACAGGGCCCATCCATCTCAGGACCCTGACCTACAGCGCCCCTCCATCCTGGGACCCCGTCTCACAGAGTCTCACCAGTCCAAGGTCTTCCTCCCTACCGCCTTCAGTTCAGCACCTTCTCCACACCCTTTCAGTCTGGGACCTCGTCCCGTCACCCCCCCCCCCCATGTCCCCTCCAGACAGAACCCCTTGCTCCCGCCCAGGCCTCCAGTCTTGGGTTCCCAGTGCGCCCCTGCAACTCTGAGACGCCAGTGGCCATGGTCTTCTAGCCAGCCTTTGCCCCCCTGCCGCCCAAACCCTGCCCCTTGGTACTACTCCAACCTCAGACCTTTGCCTCCTGCATCTTCCCCGTGGGGGTTCACCTGGTGCTCCAGAGTTTCTGGGTTCTCCTGGGTCCGTTCCAAGTCCCAGAGGATTAGTGGCTGATTACATTGGAACCTGGTGCCGGTGTTTATTTCTTAAAGGAACTCCTGGGACATACACCTCTTCCTTCTAGTTAGTTTGGAGTTGGGTTTGTGGGTGGGGTGAGGGGTGGGGTGGGGATGGGGGAGTGGGTGGAGGGTGGGAGTGGGTGGAGGGTGGGTGTGGGTGGGCTGTACCTTTCAATGCTTCACCTGGCCTCAGGATCAGTTGTTTTTTTTTTTTAAACTTCAGCAGCTAGAACTCTCTGACCAAGATAGTTTTCAATTTTTAAACAAAAATGATTCATTCCTAAAAAGACTAGACGCATTCATTTTAAAAGGAAAATTTATTTGTGAGTAAGTAGTTTTGTTTACGAGTAATTTATCTCCACAAGTAAGAAACAGAATGTCCTTTATCGTAAGACTGAAACAAGCCATGTTATCAACGTTCCTACTTTTTACCGGTCACTACACTTAGGAAAAGACTCGTTTGGTCCAGTGATTTCATTTTACCCAAGAGGGAACTGAAGTCACAGTGGTGTAACTAGTTTCTCTGAGTCAAGGAGATGCAGAGGAAGCCAGAAATGGAACCTGGGATTGGTCATCTGGCCTTTGGTGTAAAGGGACGGGACAAACAGCCCTTGCTTTAGAATTGTAGCAAGTTTGAAACCTTAAAAGTTTGATACACCGTTGAGGGAAACGGTTTCCTTGTAGTTTTAAGCAGTGAGCCATAGGCCCAAACTGGAAGGGCTTTGGTGAGAATATTCTACTGTTCTCTGAAAGCTGGAGGCAGAGGCTAGCCTTTTGTCCTCCCACCTTCTAAAGTGAGTGAATTGAGGGCCTGCCCTGAATGGGAAAAGGAAACGTGAAGCCCCTAGCTCCTACTGGACCTTTCTATTGGCTTTTGAATGAGCTTAGTTAGGGCTTTCTCCTCTGGTAGTGAGTGTATTTTCCCTGCAGTTTACATCTACCTGACCTCAAACAAAGTGAAACAGAAAGGGTGTGGGGAGAGTGAGAACAGGAGATGAGAGAGAAGGGGATGTAAACAAGGCAAATTGTAGAGTAATGGCACTGGCCTGATATAAACAAGAATGCAGACCACAGCTTATTAAAGTCAGCAGGCTTTATTCAGTACAATATTTTATTTGTGACTCATGCATGTTGGGTAAATTGTCGAATATTTGAGATTACTGGGTAGGAACACTGCTAATAAAGATTTTATGGAAAATGATTACTAAGCTCCTTTGGGACTCAGACATTTAGGGGAGTTTTGAATTTGGATTCTTTTTTTTTTTTCCACTACTCGACTGTTCTGTAGGGTCCTGGCAAATGACTAGACCACCAAGGAGTTGCTTGCTACTGAAGGTTTCTGGTGTGTATGTTAAGTCTTTTTGTAGGTACCACAGTTCATGGGATTTAATGAGTGTGGGCTGTGAGTTTTGTTTCTGGTTGGTCTTATTTTTTTCTCTAAAGTGTCATATTTGTCATACTCTCATTCATTCATTCATTCATTCACTTAGGAATACTGTATCTATTGAGTATAAGGTCCTGGGGATAAAAGAGGGATCAAAAGCCATAGTGCCTGTGCTCATATAACTTCTGATTTATTGCTCTTTATGGCCCTTGTTTATGTCTGAGGACTTAGGACACTGGCTTCCCTTATTCAGCCAAGAATATGTCAGAAATGCCCGTTCATTTGTCTCCACTGTAACCATAAAGGCGGCTGACATTAAAATAGCTCTTTGAAGGGCTGAGCAGTTTACTGAGGACGTGGCCCTCATACTCTGCTCCCCAGATGCTGGGAGACACAGAAGGAAGAGACTCCGTGGCCTGGGTTGAAGGACCATCTTTAGGAGAGGCCCTCATGGATAAAGGAATGGTTTATAGAATGGAGGGTGCGGGTCCTGGTTCCAGCAGAGGGAAAGGACAGAAGGATGTGGTGTGGTAACCATGCTAGATGTTTTAAAGTGGCCGGAGCAGAAAGTATGGGAGGCCATGGCAGGAAAGGGACGAGGCCTGGAAGGGCAGTGTCCAGTGAAAAGAATTTTAGTGTGGCTCTTAGGAACTAGATTTTATTTTGCTGGCAGGGACAAACTCTTTTAGAGTTCAAAACAAGCAAACGATGTGATTTAGATTTATGTTTAGAAATGGCAATAGTTAACCCTTAGAAAGTCCCTTCTCTACCAATGCAAAATTGGGCTGTGTGTTTGTCTGTGTGTGTTGGGGGTGTGTGTATCACCACACCCAAGCTTATGTCTCCCCATGAGAATAGTGCAGTCCATTTCTCTGATCAGCAGTTCCAAAACTCAATACATTTTCAAAGTCAGAAGTGCCTGTATATGGAAGTTTTCTCAAAGCTCATTTGGTGTGAAAACTTGATCTGAGTAGATGAAATTTTGCAATTTTTATTATCCCATGCAGTCTGTTTTACTGCATAAGCAGCAGCAGTGGAGAATGCTCTGTCAGGTTCTGTCAAGAGTATTATGGAGGGCTGGAGAGATGGCTCAGAGGTTGAGAGCACTGGCTGCTCTTCCAGAGGACCTGAGTTCAGTTCCCAGCAACCACATGGTGGCTCACAACCATCTGTGATGAGATCTGGCGCCCTCTTCTGGTCTGCAGGCATACACGCAGGCAGGACACTGTATACATAATATCTTTTTTTTTTTTTTTTTTTTTTTTTTTGGTTTTTCAAGACAGGGTTTCTCTGTGCAGTTTTGCGCCTTTCCTGGAACTCACTTGGTAGACCAGGCTGGCCTCGAACTCACAAGAGATCCACCTGCCTCTGCCTCCCGAGTGCTGGGACTAAAGGCGTGCGCCACCACCGCCCGGCAATAATATCTTTTTTTTTTTTTTTTTTTTTAAAGAGTATTATGGAACATAAGGTAAACATACCATATTCTGATAGCCATTTGACAGACAGATCAGAAAACTGAGGCACAAACCACACTTAAGTAATTACCAAGACTACAAAGCTGTTAAGTGGTAGGACTGAGATCTGAATCTAGTTCTGCCACTTCCATCCCAAGTTCTTCTTGTAATATACCTCAGTGCATGAGAAGAAACCGAGTCCAGGCTATGTCAGTCAGCGATTTACTAGGCCGGCTGCAAATACAAAATGACAGGATTCACTTTCTGCCTTCATCAAGGAGCCTGCCTTTTTGCTCATTTTCAGGATTTAAAGAAATGGCCTGCAACTTTGCAACTTGTGTTTTAACGCTTACAAAAGTAGCTTTTGTATACCTTCATTTATTAGTGTGTGTAAATAACGTATGTACGAGCGTGAATGAATATGCACCACTGTGTGTCTGTGGCAGACAGGCTGAGCTTTCCAACAGCCATTTTTTAGTTTTTTACTCGGGAGTTCCTGTAACCCAGGCTGGCCTTGAATATACTGAGCAGTGCAGGGTGGTCTTGAACTTCTAACTCTCTTGCCTCCATCTCTGATTGCTAGGACTATGGTCATGTGCCACCACAATTTTTATTTTTTTTATTTTTGAGACAAGGCTGGCCCAGAACAGTCCCCTGAGGGCAGGAGTTGGAGGTGTGTAGTGCCACAGATCTGCTTAGGGAAGTAACTCTGAATGTGTGTAGCAGGATCCAGCTGAAGTCAGTCAACTACATAAAAGCCACAGAGAACGAGGACGTCCTGAAAGGAAAAGCTAAAGAATCCAGGGGCTTCCTGAAGTCAGGGCCCACTTTTCCAAAGTCTGTGCCAGTGGTTCCACCATCATTGGTGGGCCCCGGGGAACGTTCAGAACTATCTGCGTTCACTGTGGGTTGCAGGGCAAAAGATACTGTTGGCATATGGGCCTGTGCCAGGCTCATGGCTCAGCGTCCCTCAATGCCAGGGCGACTGCTCAACATCCTGTGGTACACAGACCCCAGTCACTCGTCTTTCTCCTCTTTAGAAAGTGGTTCTCAGGGGTTGGGGATTTAGCTCAGTGGTAGAGCGCTTGCCTAGCAAGCACAAGGCCCTGGGTTCAGTCCTCAGCTCCGAGAAAAAAAAGACGAAAGAGAGAGAGAGAGAGAGAGAGAGAGAGAGAGAGAGAGAGAGAGAGAGAGAAAGAAAGAAAGAAAGAAAGAAAGAAAGAAATTCTCAAACTTGAGTGTTTACCAGAATCACTTGGA